CACCTTGCGCAGGGTTCATGTTGCAGTATTAAAAAGTGAGGGAAATTTGTCTTTAATATTATAGGTAGCTTTCCCTCACTTTCTTCTTACCTCCTTCCTCCCCTCCCCCCTCCCTCTCCTCCTCCTCTCGCTTCCTTCTCCTCCCTCTCCTATCCTTGCCACAGAGAGCCATGATCGGGGAGGGGGAGAGGAAAATCACCCAAATCACCCCTCCTTCTTTCCCCCTCCCCTCTCTCCAGGAGGTCACTCTGGATCCGTCTGCTCTGGTATATCCTTTGACATTTAGTTTAATAAATTAACCGATTTTTTCGGAGTGGAAAATTGCTTTTTTTAAGTTAATTGATATGATTATAATATAAGTGAACGAAGCATACGGCCAAGGAGAGAAGTGAGGAAAAGAGAAAAATCTCCCTCTCAAGCGTTATTTCGATTAATGTTCCGCTGAAGATAGATGGTTAGCAAGATGCATTTTGCTCATTTCCATTTCCAAATCACCCAGTATTGCGCTCAACCTATATTGCGACTTTGCGTCGGTAGCAGAAGCTCTAGTAGCAATGCCAGAAGACAAGTCAGTAGTATGTTCCGGTCGCTGCTCGCTTGATCGCTCACCGAGCTGTTTCATCGGAATACCATTTCCAGAAACGGGCTGAACATCGGGCTGGGAATGACAGGAAGTACCACATTTTGAAGAGGACAGATCCGAGGAATGCTCCGATGTCGGTGAAGATGACTTGGTGGATAGGGGTGAGGAAGCGTAATCACTTTTCTGGCTAGCTGTAACTGACCAACAACTAACCCCTGGCCTAGGCAGTGACATGTACGCTTGCTTCTCGGCTGCCAAGCGACCACTCGCCGCAGCGTCCGTCTCTTTCGCTAATCTTGACAAATCGTTGATACACTGCGCCCAAGTGTCACAAAAAACTTCCAGATTTTCACGAGCTATTCGAGAAGATGGATGAATGCACAGTGTTCGACCAGCCAGCAAAGTCTGCAACAATACTGTCATAAAATACATTAAGAATCAGTAATTATGCGCTAAAGGACTCACAAGAGGTGGAGGGGGAGGGGGGAAGTTTAAATCTAACATTCGAAAAAGACAACTGTCTCAATTTTGAGGCTTAAAGATTCAAAAAAAGAAAAACAGCAAGTTAGAGGGAGAGAGAGAAAAAAAGCACCATTAAAAGGAGTGAATTCAATTGTACTGCAAAAAAAAAAAAATACTAAAAAAGACGGCACACTGCGCTTTCTCCAAAATATGCTTGAAATTTTAGTAAATTACTTGTAGCGACTTTTTTCTAACCATAAAAAGGTGCCGAATGCAAAGATGGAGATCTGAACTACGAACTATCAGTTATTCCATGTATTCCAGACAAAATTTCTGAGAAGTTAAGATACTGAATGCTAGAAAATAAAATAAAATGAAATACCAAAGGTGCAAGGGCACGGAGATTTCGTTCCACATGTCCCGTTGCAACATGTAGGCCATCAGTTAGCGAAACGTGATGAAGCAGTCGACAAACCTCAAAAAAGCAAATTTATAATGAAAACTTTCCAAATCCACACTTGTTTCAGCGAAAGTAAGGCCCCAAACAGTTATTTTGTAATCTTTACATAAGAAAAATACTAGGGCAATCAATCTTCCAATCACTGATTCGTTTGTATTAATAGTATTTATATACACACATGCCAGGGGATCGAAACTGCATTCAACTTATCTCAAAGCAACATCTGAGACAGAGAGCTAACGAAAGCCTAAGTATCCAGGTCATTGAAAGTCAAAAGTCAAAACCTCAAAAGTAAGCCGAAAAGGAGCCTCTTACTGTAATACCAAAACTTCCTACGTAAATTCAGAAGCCTACTATTCCAATTTCTCGACATACAATCAAAAACCAGAAATAAGCTAGAAAAAAAGCAAAAGCTACAACTTACTTCTTGCATATGCTCGGCATGTTCTCGGAATTTTTCCAAAAATTTCTCCACACCATCAATATCACCCGAAACAGAGCAAGCTTTTATAGATGACAGAATTAGCTGATCTTCGTTGGCACGCAGTACTTCTGAAATCTACAAAAAACAAAAGCAGCTGTGATTGGATCAGAGTTAGAAATTACATCCCGTAAAGTTGAAAATCAAAAAAAAAATTACCTGCTCCATGGCCACAATCTGAAGTTGCTTCCTGAGATCCTTCAGTCGTCGACCAAGCCTTTCTACACTCACTTCGATGCTTTCATTCCTCAAAGGTTCATCGGCTACCTTGAAATATAAGTTCATTTTCTGACTGTTTGATCAGCAATTCATAGTTGAATAAACAAAAATATCCAAAAAGCAGCAGTTGGCAAAAGTCAAAACCCCTCTAAGGCTTAAGGACCGGTACTGTACCTTTGACAAAACCAAACATTGAGAAGCTGCCAACTGTCTAGGTTGCATGCAAATACCCTACAAAAAAAAGACAACAGCTGCTTTAAGTAAGTCAAAATAAAATCCCTTCGGTATTTACTCTCAGTGAGTTCCAGAAGTGCTAGAAGTATTTCAGCGTATTTCAACGAATTAGCACGTGCCAAAAATCGACCACTCGTTGGCAACTTAGGCAGTTCCTTCTCTCGGTTGCTTAGAAGCTGATGGCGGATTTAATTCCTTGGCATGCATCAGTATTAAACCACCTTCGAAAAGAATGAACGAATCTGAGACCAGTTGTACCTCCAACAAAGTCGAACCCCTTAACATCGGTAAAAGAACCGCACTACTCATTAATGCGCCAAAATCAAGGTAAGTATCCATTGAAAATTTAATGTAACAAGTAAAATTTAAGTTTTAAACGAGCCTTTCTTTCGAATATAACTTATGAAAAGAAAACACCCACATCTGGCTGTATAAGATTTGTCATTTCAAATCTGCATTCCTCCAGGAAATCGAGAATTTGCTCACGATGATGATGTGGGGTGTATGCGGAATCTGTAAAATCCTGCGTCATTTCACACAACGAATCCAGCGCGCTAATTAGCCTTTCTCGAGCACCCGTTCCAACATTATATGTCACCCGCACCATTTCTAACATTTCCTATAACATGAACAACTCATTTTTTTACAAAACTTAACATACGCGCTAGAGGAAAGAACCGTTCGGCTGATAATTCTCTCAAATAAATACTGGGATTGCTAGCAGGCTGACCACCAGGCGAGGAAGCATTGATCCAGGCAACTGCAGTAATTGCTAGCTGCGCGGCTGAAGAACTAAACTATGCATTAAAATTGATAGATCAATTCAAAAAGTGATAGAACAACGCAAAAAAGCTTTAAAAAAAAATCAACTCAAAAAATTTATATAAAATTTATAAAAAAGTACCAGTGTTGCACAATTTTTGGAAAAATTTAGAGCAAATAATTACTCACTAATATTTTTCCACCCTTTACAAATCAAAAAATGATTTATTTTGTACATGTTTCAAATTGCTTTGTTTTCTCTTTGGCTTTTCAAAAAGCACATCCTATTGGAGATCTTTTATCAAAGATACTAAAGACTACACGGATAATGGCGTAGGGATCCCATGTTAGTAGTACTACTAGAATATGAAAAGCACGATTATGCCAGGTTCTTCGATTCTGAGCTGCATACCTCCGGTAAGTACTCACCCTCCTATCCAATGTATGTGCATCACTTCTTTGGAAATTACCCGAACGGTCATTTTCTTTCAGGTACAAATAACACCCGCAAAAATCATGTACTTTTTTGAATTTATGGTATTCTTCAAGCTAAAAATATCAAAGTCCGGAAAATGCTTATTCTAGAAATCAC